GAAACAAAAACAGTAACGCATAGAGAAACAGAAAACGATACAGAAACAGAAACATAACAAGAAACAGAAACAAAAACAGAAACAAATAGAAAATCATAATCAGAAACAGTACCAGAACCATAAACAGAAACAAAAACATAAAAATAAACATAAACAGAGAATGAAACTAAAACTGAAACTGAAACTGAAACTGAAACTGAAACTAAAACTAAAACCAGAGCAGGACCATGAACAGAAATAGAAATAAAACACGAAACAGAAACAGTAAGTGAAAGAGACACAGAAAAAGAAAAAAAGAGTAAGGGTAAGAGAACCAGAAACAGATACAGAAAGAGAAACAGAAACAGAAACAGTACCTGAAAAAAAAACAGAAACAGAAGCATAAACATAAACATAAACTTAAACAAAAAAAGGAAAAAGAAAGAAAAACAGAAAGAAAAACAGAAAGAAAAACAGAAAAAGAACCAGAAACAGAAAAGGAACAAGAAACAAAAACAGAACAAGAAACATAAACAAAACAAGAAACAGAATCAGAATAAGAAACAGAAAGAAATTGAGAATCATAATCAGTAACAGAAACAGAATCAGAATCAGAAACAGAATCAGAGCCAGAAACAGAAACAGAAAGAGAAACAAAAAAATAACAAATTGAGAATCATAATCAGAAACAGAAACAGAACCAGAAACAGAATCAGAACCTGAAACAGACAGAAAAACAGAACTAGAAACAGAAACAGAAACAGAAACAGAAACAGAAACAGAAACAGAAACAGAAACCGACATATAACCAGAAAAGGAGCCAGAAACAGTAAACTTTACAGAAACAGAAAGAGAAACAGAAGCATAAACATAAACATAAACTAAAACAAAAACAGAAACAGAAACAGAAAGAAAAACACAAAGAAAAACAGAAAAAGAACCAGAAACAGAAACAGAACAAGAAACAAAAACAGAACAAGAAACATAAACATAACAAGAAACAGAATCTGAATAAGAAACAAAAACAAATTTAGAATCATAATCAGAAACAGAAACAGAATCAGAAACAGAATCAGAACCTGAAACAGAAACAAAAACAAAAAACCAAAAGAGAATCATTAACAGAAATAGAAAGAGAATCAGAAACAGAAACAGAAAAAGAAATAGAACATGAAAACAGTAACGGAAAGAGAAATAGAAACATAAACATAAACATAATCAGAAACAGAATCAGAGCAAGAATCAGAAACAGAAAA